ATATATATATATATATCTTCTTTTTTCAGAGTTGGTGGCTCTTTGCCAATAGTTTTTACTTACTACAGTGAGTTTCTCACCAAGAGAAATCGTGGCAGACATCTCAGCTGGTTGTTGACATTCTGGGGAATAGGAGGTCTATATACAGCATTTATGGCATGGTTAATGATTGCAGAACCAGGTAGTGAAAAATAATTAATAAATGACCAAAAATTTATAAATTTGGAAGAAAAACAATAATAAACTTATAAATTAAACAAGGAAACACAAATTCTGGAAAATTACCTCACTGCATGGTAATGACAGTTATACATAAAAGAAAAACATAATTCCTGTAAAAAAAATCAAAACTCACGGTATTTAAACCACTCATTTGCAATTTTTCCTTTCGCGTAGTAACGGTTTATCTGAAATTCAGTTATCCAAAATTATTGTTTTTATTACCACGCATTTAGTAAAAAAACACAAAAGTGGAATGTAAATTTAATTGAATAAATGATTATAATGCCTTGCTCTAAGGTATCATGATAAAATCAACAAACTTTATCGCATATTATAAATCCATATTTTATTGTTATTTTTTCAAAATCATTACCAGAGAGCTACAATAAAAATTATTAAACATTTTGGTGTTCCCATGTAACGAGAAATATGGTAACCTTTTGTCATATTCTTTTAGTTTTGACCTTTTATTTTTATTAGTTACTTTTTCTTTTAGATTAACTTTAAATTAACTGACCTTAAATTTTTAAATCCATAAATTACAGAGAATTTTTTATGCATGCAGTCTTACCCTAAAATGAGCTAGGCAGTCTTTTTAAGCGTAAAAGAAAAATCCATTATTAAAATATCATTGCTTGATTAAATTTAAATTTCGTCACAAGCTTTGGTTTTAAACTATTAATGTTACTATTACTGAACGTTTAGGATTTAATTATGCTTTTTTTAATCCTAGTGAAAGCGGATTTAAGACCATTAAAGCATCTTTATAACATTTTTAACGTCGAGTAAAACTAAAAATAGCAATTGATGTGTTAAAAGCTTTTTAGTTTTATGAATAAACAGAAATTATTTCGATGCTAATTTATTAGAAATGTTTATGACATTGTCTTTAAATCTATTATTCTAAATTTAAATTTTTCAGTATACCATATAAAGTCTTTAAAAGGTTTTTTTTTACAACTATTTTTGATCGTATCTAAGATTTTTCTTCATTAACCACTTTTGTTATTTTTATTTTAAAAGGTATAGGCCTTTTTATGGCTTATTTAGTTCTTTTTAAAGCCCCTAAAAGTTTTTTAATACCTTAGAAAGGAACTAGATGAAATTAATATTGCATTAAAATGTCTTCACTAATTCAAAAAAGTAGGCCTTTGAAATTATTTTTAGTGAAAGATTAACAAAAAATATAAAAGGCTGAGAGCTTTTTGCAACCATGGTTACATTACTTTGGATTGGTATCTCCTATGTGTTCGAATGTTAGAATGAATACATAAAATATTGAAATTACATTCTACAAGAGCATGAAAAATGTTAAAGATTATTTTTATGTTTTCTCATAGATACAGTCCGTGGCGAACTTATTAGACGAACTATAAGATTCTATGTTAAATCTTAATTTTCAGGTGATACTATACAGCTTTATTGTTTTTATGCGATTGAAACTGGTTTGCCCTTGTTTACGCTCGTGTATTAATTGGTTAAATTAGACGATATATAATGTAAATTCGACAATAAGATGAATTAGACGATATATTATATAAATATAGAATATTTATTATATCAGGTATTATATTAGCATATTATAATAATTCGACCAAATTATGAAACGCACTGTAGTTTTTTAATAATTACATATTTTGCACGAGTTTATATGCAATACTTTTATAATTAAACATACATGTAATGGGGTTTTTTTCGGGAGATTTTGCATATACTTCCTATTTGTAATTATTTTTAAAGTATTGCATTACAATGTTAACCAATTAATACACGAACGTAAACAAGTGCAAACCGGTTTCAGTCGTGCAGAAACAATAAAGCTGTATAGTATCACATGATAGTTAAGATTTTACATAGAATCTTTAGTGCGTCGAATAATTTGGCCAGCGCTATATATACAGGGGTTATCGACAATCTTAATATTTAAAAACAAACCTGCTCAATTTTTGTAAAAAAAAAAAAAGATTTGACTTGACCCTCAGCTGTCCCAGGCCCAGGGACAATCGTCCCTGTCTTTTCTTAGGTAAGAGTTTTTAAGATAAAGTTTTAAAAATATGCGAACAAATTTATTACAAGTCTACACAAAATCTTAGGTATATTTTAGATCATATTCTTCCAATCTCATTTCCAGGGAAATCTCATTTTTAACGTGTCTTAAAACTGTCAAGAATGTCGACTGTCTTTTAGGTCTGATTACTCATGGAATGTTCGTAGTTTTCCTAAGCGTGCAAACGAAATGGAATTTATGTTAACTCGATGTCACTACTCTAATGAAACGTAAAATGACATACGGGAAAGATGAAAACTGTCTTCTCATTTCCATTTCAAAACTCTTTTGGGAAAGAGGAATCAAAACACTAAATAAAGTGCACTTTGCTATTCAATTTTCTCTTGTTTAATTAAAATTTAAAACTAAAATGGCAGTTTGTTAGTAGAAAATAATTTACTTTTAAGACAATCTTGCAAAAAATATTTTTTACCACTTTTCACATTTTTTCTCAGGTAGGTAATAACCGGCTTTATATCTGCACTGAATAAAATATGGTAAAAGTTACCAAATGGGGATATTTAATGTGTTTCTGACTCTCTGGGCATACCAAAAAGCAAGGTAAATTTTTCCGAAGTACTTTGATAATGATTTTAAAAAAGTTAAAAGTGAATTATAATTTTATAGTGATAAAATTGATTAACGATGTAAAATTTGGTAATTTCAGCATGGTATTGAAACCATTTATTCAGTTAAATTTACTTTTCAGTTTTGTAGTTTTGACTAAAAGTGTGGTAATAAGAACTTTTGTAGACCAAAACTACCAATAAACCATTACCATATGAATGGAAAAATTACCAAATGAATGGCTTAAATACCGTATATTTTGGCTTATTTAACCAGAATCATGTTTCTTTTTCTCTTTTTACCAGAAATGTCATTACAATACAGTACAATGATTTTGCTGAGAACGGAAGTTCGAATTCCGCTGGCAGAAGAAACCCCGTGTATTAAATGTGACTGGTACACGTTAAATATGTCGGGGTCACAAAGCCCTCCAAGTTCCTATAACAAATTAAAACCTCCGGGGGTACTCGATACTCTGGAGAGATTGATAGTTCTCTGATTTAGACTGTGGTCGAGCAGTCTTGCTAGTATTGGCAAGTGGCAATAGAAACAACAACGATAATCTTACAAAATTTGTTTTCTCTATATAAAAAAATAATTTTTTTTACCCTAGGACTTTGAAATATTGTTTTTTGAAACAGAATTATTTTTCCAGATATTTATTATTATTTATTTAGATATTAATTCCTTTTTTTTTATTCCATTGCAGCCTAAAATCGAAAATGTACTTATAAATTCATCTTAAAAAACTAAAAATTGTGAAATACAAACAAATCCGTTTTCTTTGAATTAAAATCAGACGCTCTAATTTTTTTTTCCATTTAAACTAGCATCAGAACTAAAGGATTTCGGATGATAAAAATGTTCTTAAACTAATCATAGTTATAATTGACATTGACGTTGGACTCGTAAAGAGATTTCAATTTCATGTAACTAATTAAAAATACTTTTATTATTATTATTAACTTCAAACACTCAACAATTATAGCTTTTGAGATACATATTTTTACTCAAACAATATCTCATCGAAGATAATATTGTTTAACTTTCAACAACAGTTAATTCAACGCAGAAAAAACTGGCTAAATTTAATTATGCGTTTATCCATTTAAAAGGTTATCTTTGAACATTAATTTTTTGATAAAATACTATTCGCAATTATCAAGATTTATCTAACCAAATGTCTCTGAAATATTTTATTGGTTAGATTATATCTGTTTTTGGTATAAGATGTTTTATTTGCAGTATTTTTTTAATTTTTTATTTTAAGATGCTGATGGCTTAGGCTCTAGATTAAGTAGCTGGAGGGTATTTCTTGTGGTTTGCGCTACGCCAGCCTTATTAACTGTATTTGGTCTATTCTTTCTACCAGAGAGTCCACGATATTTACTTGAGGTAACCATTTTTTTAAACTTTTACANATTTGGTAATTTCAGCATGGCATTAAAACCATTTATTCAGTTAAATTTACTTTTCAGTTTTGTAGTTTCTACTAAAAGTGTGGTAATAAGAACTATAGTTTTGTAAACCAAAACTATCACTAAACCATTACCATATGAATGGAAAAATTACCAAATGAAAGGCTTAAATACCGTATATTTTGGTTTATTTAACCAGAATCATGTTTCTTTTTCTCTTTTTACCAGAAATGTCATTACAATACAGTACGATGATTTTGCTGAGAACGGAAATTCGAATTCCGCTGGCAGAAGAAACCCCGTGTATTAAATGTGACTGGCGCACGTTAAATATGTCGGGGTCACAAAGCCCTCCAAGTTCCTAAACCTCCGGGGGTACTCGATACTCTGGAGAGATTGATAGTTCTCTGGTTTGGACTCTGGTTGAGCAGTCTTGCTGGTATTGGCAAGTGGCAATAGAAACAACATGAACAAAAACGATAATCTTACCAAATTTGTTTTCTCTATGCAATTTTTAAACTTTTTTAATTGTTTTCTGATTTTGCTCGTCCTTTTTTTCTTGAAAAAAATAATTTTTTTTACCCTAGGACTTTGAACTATTGTTTTTTGAAACAGAATTATTTTTCTAGATATTTATCATTATTTATTTAGATATTAATTCCATTATTTTTATTCCATTACAGCCTAAAATAGAGAATGTACTTATAAATTCTTCTTAAAAAATTAAAAACTGTAAAATACAAACAAATCCGTTTTCTTTTAATTAAAATCAGACACTCTAATTCTTTTCCATTTAAATTAGCATGAGAACTAAAAGATTTTGGTTGATGAAAAGGTTCTTAAACTAATCATAGTTATAATTGACATTGACGTTGGACTCATAAAGAGATTTCAATTTCACGTAACTAATTAAAAATGTATTTATTATTATTATTAATTTCAAACAGTCGACTAGTCAATTAGAGCTTTTGAGATACATATTTTTAATCAAACAATATCTCATCGAAGATAATATTGTTTAACTTTCAACACCAGTTTAAATTCAACACGGAAAAAACTGGTTAAATTTAAGTATGCGTTTGTCCATTTGAAAGAGTATCTTTGAACATAAATATTTTACTAGAATATTATTCGCAATCATCAAGATTTATCTAACCAAACGTATCTTAAATATTTTATTGGTTAGATTATATCTGTTTTTGGTATAAGATGTTTTATTTGCAGTATTTTTTTTATTTTTTATTTTAAGATGCTGATGGCTTAGGCTCTAGATTAAGTAGCTGGAGGGTATTTCTTGTGGTTTGCGCTACGCCAGCCTTATTAACTGTATTTGGTCTATTCTTTCTACCAGAGAGTCCACGATATTTACTTGAGGTAACCATTTTTTTAAATTTTTACAATTTTCATTGCTAAATGCTGGTTTTAAAAAGCAAATTTCAAAAAATATTTTGATTTAAAAATAAAAATTAATTAAGATATTTACTTGTGCAACCTATTATACTAAATTAAAACTTTTTTAACGGAAAAACAGCTGTTTTTCAAGAGTTCCATAATGAATCGAGTTTTGTTAAATCTCAAGCAAAATTGCCCAATTAGACAACATTTTTTCTTCCTTTTCTTTCTTTTATTTTTTTCTTTAAACTAATAAACATGTTCCAAAACCATTTTTGTTTCGTGCCTCACATTATTCAAAACATTCGCATGTCTTTTTTATTTCCTCGAAATTTTTACTTGTTGCTTCTGCATTCGTTTCTTTCCTTCTTTCTTTTTTTTTGCAATTATTTTCAAAGTCAGTTTTTTATTACATTTAGTAAAACAATTTTCTGTCCCATACAGATACGTTAAATAAAATGCATTGAGATATTTATATTGACTAATTAATACGATTAATACGAGATTTAAAATAAAAGATTTGCATTAAAGATTAAAAGATTATACCTGATAATAAATTATTTTAAGTATTTCTGTTCAATATAAAATATTAAATACAATATGAAATATCAAATGAAATATGAAGAAGACTTAAAATATGAGGAAGACTTAAAAATTAGTTAATTTTTTTTTTTTTGTGCTGAAGTATTTTTTATTTTTATTTTCTATAGAATATATTTTATTTGCTTTATAGAATATATTTTATTTAAAAGTGACTTGTCAGAAATTCGTACTATTAGGAAGAATGGGTTTTTGTTTAAAACTACTACATCACAGGTAGGTACTTTAGCTGCACAATGCACTAGAGCTGCACAATGCACTAGAGTTGCACAATAAGCAATTGGCGACCGTCTGGGAAACATCCGCGCGAATAATCCGAAGACATGCCATCGCAATTTTGATCTTCTGCAGAAAAGATGGCTCCCCCGCTTCGGTAGTTCGACGATCTGCGCGCGAAGTCGAGCATTTTACGGAAGAACAGTTTAACGCGGACTAATACCGTACACCCTCGGTCCCTACTCAGGCTGATCAGAGTAGTCACCCACCCACTCACTGACCGCAGTCAGTGATGTTTGACTTCGGTGTTCTATTGGGAACCGTGTCTTTACAATCAGTCCACTGCAGTTCTCTACATCACTGACATGAATAGTGCATAAAGTTCTAGTATATTAGTTGCCTTTTGAGTTGGTCAAACAAGCATGGATCATCAAAACAAGCTCTAAAGCTCTATTTATGGGGGGGGGGGAACTGATGGTTAGTGTTTGGAGCTCTAGCACAATCCATTGTAGTTTTATGAAACCTGGCTCATCGATCACAGTAGAAATATGCTGCAGCTAAGTAGACGAAATTATATAAAAATTAGCCTAAATTGGTCAAAAAATATTCTCCTATTCTTTTGCATAGCCATAAAAAAACAGATACTGCACAATTGACTATACCAAAGTTACAAGAATTGGAAGTGGAGCTTTTTCATCTTTTCCCATGCTAACTAAACCCTATTCTAACTGACCATTGTTTCTTTCTAAATTTGGACAAACCTTTGTTAGAAAAAGAAATACATTTCAAATATGTAAAACTGTCCTACACGAGGACATTACCTGAACAACCCGCAGTTTAAATGGCAAATGTGTAGTGTAAATATTCGTGCATGCTTTGATGAGGGAAATAGTTTCTTAAATCTGCAAGCTATCAACCAACTTTGTCTTTTTTTTCTGCAAATTTTATACTTGACCCCACATACAACCATAACTTTGTTTGATTTTTAATGCACTTTTTTCAGATTTTTAATATTTTGGTAAGGCATTTTCGTAACACTAAATGATCAAGAAAATAAAAACAGCATAACAAGGTTGTGTGATAAAATTTGAAAATTAGATGAGCTTGATAATGAAGTCTTTAAATTTAAAAACTTTCGAATACTTTTAAAAAAATTAGTTAGGCAGCAAAACATTATTGAATCAATCTTTGAACGAAACCTTGCGATTTAACAGAGTTTAAATTTATAAAATTTAAAAAACAAAAGCGTTTTATTCATTTTTGATTCCTAATTTATATGATTGTGTGATGACAAACATACACTAAAAGAAATAGAAACTTTATCTGATTCCTAAGAAAGTAACACAAATATTTAGGTTGGCATTTGTGAACCAGCAAAACATATTTAAATGCAGGACATTTTTTTTAAGTTCGAAGCAATTAGCAATTGAAAGAGTTTTTCAATTCAAAGAATTGTCTAAGCAATTAGTATGATTATGTAATTTGTATTTATTTTTGAATTTCCTTAGTGTGGTCGTGATGTCGAAGCTATGTATGTTTATCAGAAAGTGTTTCGAATAAATCACAAGAAAACTGATGAATACCAGGTATTTATATAGTAGCTCTTATATTAATTTTACTTAAAATGATATTATATAACTACAAAATGATGTTATTAACTAGATGATGTTCAATGAGCTTTCATACTTAGAAATAATCGTAACATTACGGCAAATGTGTCAATATGTAAATTAAAAATTATATAATAAATTCATCTAGAGTTTGAAGTATTCGTAAAAGATCAAAAATGTACATTTAAAATAAATGCTTTTTTATTTTACTGAGATGAAGACTTTCATTTAACCACAAAAAATAAGTATTGAAAGTGTGAATGGAAAAATACGCCTGGAAAATTATTTATTTTTCTCGCATTTTTATTAATTTTTATTCTTTTGACAATTGCTTGATATAATATAGGCTGAAAACAGAGTTTGTTCGGTAAATAATATCACTAAAATTATTGTGAAGTTTACATGCTTTGTGGCATGCTCAGTTTGGTTAGGATCAGTAAAATGAGTGGTCAGCTTAAACATGCCAGGTTCCTCATTCATCTACGACCACCAGGAACGTAAGGGCAGACACTTTTGTGAAATTATTATTTTTTTTTCTGTGTGTGTCTCTTTTGCGATCTGGCTATACAGCGCTCCATGAAACGCTATCAAGTTTTGTGTAAAAGGAAATATTTTTTCAAACATAAAGGCAGTCATTGAGAACAATGTTTGTTTTAAAACCAAGTCTGCCGGGGACATAAGACAATTTCTAAAGAGAGATCAACGATGAAATTCGTGTAGTAAGGCCATCAGCAAGCACCACCAATGAAAATGTGACACATTTGATAGATTAGTCGACTCTTGCCATATCTTATTTGACTTTATAACCGGTGTTGAACAGACGAGCCATCTTTGAATTCACAACTATCAATGTTAAGTAAATGTGTATCCTTGTAATTTTAAATACAAACCAGAAGACAAGGGAGCTCGTGGATCAAGCATTTGAGCAAACTAGCCTTTGTGGAGGACGTTTTGATGAAACTAACCCATATTTGCATTATATTTGTTTGCATCAGGCATGAAGAGGAAATGAAAGATCTCCTTCTATTAGACCAACACATGATACGTTTGTAACGAAGGATATTTTTTTGGATCAAGCATCGGGACAGACTAGCCTTAGTGGAGGACTTTTTGATGAAACTAGCCCTCATTTGCATTATATTTGTTTACATCAGACATGAAGAGGAAATGAAAGATCTCCTTCTATTAGACCAACACATGATACGTTTGTAACAAAGGATATTTTTTTGGATCAAGCATCGGGACAGACTAGCCTTAGTGGAGGACTTTTTGATGAAACTAGCCCTCATTTGCATTACATACAGGGGGAAAGAACTGTCTCCTTCTGTTGGACCGATGGTTCCAGCCAATGATACGCCTATCACTGATGATATTTTTAGGATAGTAATGCGTTTGGTGCAAGCCGGAAGAAGGATTCGCTTTGACTAGCTCGCTTACTATCTCAAACCTGGGTCACCACTCTGCGAAGTGAGAGCTCTATCCCTTCAGCCACTATAGCTACAAGCCATTATCTAAGAGTTAATATAATAGCATAGATATTAAACATTTTTCGAAAGTCCCGACTTGGATTTGTGGATATTTGGTAATTTCGCACTGACAAACGCGCCTTAGCATTCCACTATTTCAGAATTCACTACATAGACGATTCAAAGGTACCGAGATTTCCCAGCCACTTAACATTCAATATGTGACTTCTCTGACTTCTTTTTTGCTTGGACTCTTGAAAATTTCCATGTAAGATTTCTACATTTCGGAACAATTGATAAAGTGAGGAGGCTTGAGTGCCCATACATGAGTACGCAGAATACTCTTTACAGNAGCCGATACATTTTTGGGTTCACAACTATCAATGTTAAATAAATGTGTAGCCTTGTAATTTTAATCCCAAACCAGAAGACAAGGGAACACCTGGATCAAGCATTGGGACAAACAAACCTTTGTAGAGGATTTTTTTTATGAAACTAACTCACATTTTCATTAGATGCAGATGAAAGCTTTCTATCTGTTAGACTTTCTGTAAGGGTGTTCCAACCTATAATACGTCTATCACGGAGAATATTTTTACGATAGTACTACGGTTGGTGCAAGCCGGAAGCTGGATTGGAATTGGCCAGACAACACTAGTTCAAACCTGGGTCACCTGTCTGGAAAGTGCGTGCTCTATGACATGAGCCACTATAGCTACCAGCCATTATTTAAGAGTTAATTTAATAGTACAGATATTAAACATTTTTAAAAAGTCCTGACTTGGATTCGCGGATGTTTGATAGCTTCGCACTGACAAACGCGCCTTGGCATTCCACCTTTTCAGAATTCACTACATAGCCAATTCAAAGGTACCGAGATTCCCCAGCCACTCAACGGCCAATATGAGGCTTTTCGGACTTGTTTTTTGTTCGGGCTCTTAAAAACTTCCATGTAAGAACATCATTTCGGAACAATTGATAAAGTGAAGACGCTTGAATGACCGTACATGCGTACGCTGAATACTCTTTGCAGCTTCGATTGAACTACTTTCAGGTTTGAATGATCATTACAATCAGTTTTAAATTTTGTTGTTGTTGTGGGTTATCTTCCAATGCCTGACGAAGTCAGATAAGGTCCATCAGACCGTTGACCCTAAGAAAATCGAGGACCAGAAGGGGGGATAAGTATATGTCCTCTCTGGAAAGTCCCAAACAGTCCAGGATAGGTTCGGGAGAAGCCTGTTTAGGTTTAAAATTTTAAAGCAATATCAATTTTATGGTTTCGCATTCCCTTGATACTTTCTTCGATGCGAAAAATTCTTTATTTTCATTTTAAATTTTCGTGATCAGTTTTTTTGTACAAAAAATCGACAGTGACAGTTTGAAATCCGTGTTTGTGTAGGTAGTATACACCGTAGTGTTTAGATAATTGCTAAAATGCATTTTTTGTTAAAAAAATATTATATTGAACTGCATAATATTAAACCATATATGTATAAACAATATAATATTAAACTGCAAATAAGAGATTACTTTAAACAATCACAAAAATTTAAATAAGCAGAAACAATCAGAAATAGATGAATCTTTTAGAAAAAAGGCTTTCGTTTACCAATTATTTTAGCTTTAACTTTACCTATTATGGACTATGTTTCATTTATTTATTCAGAAGTTATTACAGCAAATAGTTTAAAACTACATCAAATAGCTTATTGTAAGAGCATGAAATTTTAGTTTGAACTCAAAGCATTGCTAATTGCAAATGGGATTTGTTTCAAAATAAATTTAGAAAGCAATCACTTTCTTTTCATTCACTAGAAAAGACTATTATATGCGAGTTTTGTTTGTGCCCGGAAGAGCAGAACAAAAGCATGAAATTAATAGTGAATTCGAAGTTTCTAAAATTTATGCTTAATACATTTTAAACACTTGATGCTTGCGCTCTGATTATTGAAAGAGGTTTTAATAGAAATGTAAAGTTAATTCTATTCCTATTTCTTATTTCAACTAAATAACTGGAAGTATCAATTACTAAAATTATTCTGTTTGCTTAGATCTGTTTGCTTTTAACATTATTTGAATTAAAAATTGTAATTTGGATGGCTGGAAAAAATTAGTGCATAAAATAAAAAATTAATTACAATTTTATATTTCTTGAAAAGTTTTCTTGCAAAAAAAGAATACTAAATGAGAGAAAAAATTAAAGTTTTTAAGATTAATATATTAAAATTTATTCCAAACTAATTTAACGTTATAAAAACTTGTTTTAAATTATAAAATGTTAAAAATAAATTCAGTTATGAGAAGTTTTTTAAACAATATTTTAGCTTTTTTTTTATAATAGTAAAAATTATTAGTTTTTAAGAACATACTTTAATATGAATGCACAGTAGTTATTTTATTTTATAACCAGCATTGAACAGCCGACCCAATTTCGGGCTTACGATTGCTAATGTTCAACTCCATAGCCTTGTAATTTTGAACGCAATCCAGAACACAAGGGAGCTCTTAGGTCAATTATTGGGTGAAATTTGAATTTATGGTGGACTTTTTGATGGAACTAACATTTGCGTTACATGGAGAGGAAAACCACCAAAGCCTCCCATGGTTTGTCTGAGGAAAGGAGGTTTCTACCCCTAAGGATAATTTAAGCAATTGGAATTTGGGTCAAAACATATTTAGGAAAATAATTTTTACTTTGATTATTTTTATATTAAAATTTTTATACTTTTGACTGAGTGTTCTAATAAAAAAAATGAAAACTGAAAGGGAAAATTAATTAAATTGTAAAACAAATGCCATAAAATTGAAAAACGAACTAATATCATAAAATATTTATTTTAATTCATGAAATGTTAAAAATAAATTTAAGATATGAGTATTTTATAAAGCAAGATTTTAGTTTTTATTTCTTTTTTTTTATAGTATAGCAAATATTTGTTTTTAAGAATGTACTTTAGTTTGAATCCGCAGTATAGTTAATTATAATTGGCATTTGTGTCAAAAAACATTTTGGGAAATAATTATAAATATTTATTTTTTTGAATGAGTTTTAAATTTTAGGTATACATAATAACAATCATATTAATCTCGCTAATTGTGAAATCTTAAGTTAACATGTACATTGCGAAAAAAATAGATTATCCTGATTTCATGATTGGTTTTTCATGTTCCAGGATACGAAAGGATGACCTCAAATAAGCTGATTTTTTAGTGCAAACAATATTTTAAGTAATGGAATCAGACACAAAAACGAACTCTCTCTGAATAAACAAAACTTTTTACGACAGATTATGATTTCTGTTCTCTAAAATATCGGGGATAGCCGCAGTCTTAGAAACATGGCTCCTATAGTTTGGTCAGTAGAGCAATCCCAAATTTGGACCCCTTAATTTTAACTTTATTTTTTGCATATTTCGCCATATCTTGAGAACATTATAGGTGAATGGAAAACTTTTTGGACACAATTATAAATTTCGTTTCCCAAAGATAATTCCATGTGAAAAATTGACATTTATTGAATATTTAATATTTTATTTAGCAATAGTCCAAAACAATTTCAATTCTAAAGTATCCAAATTTTTACATAATTTTGAGGAATGTAGTTTTATTATGATAAAGCAAGAAATATAAGCGAAATCAGTCGAATAGTTTGAATAAAATCAAAATTTAAAGATATAACTTATTTAAAATCAGAATTCTCAGGAACTATTCGAAAAATTACTGAAAGAAAGTTGTTGTGTCTGATTTTATAACTCAAAATATCGTCTGCACTAATTAATTAGCATATTTGCGTTCACCCCCTTGAACCATTAAGATTGAGCCCTATAAGCAAAGATATATGGATCGAAAGTTATTTAGAGTGGTCCTTTTTTTAACGCACAGAACATTTTTTTTGCTTAAAATATAAATTTTTTAATTTAGTTTAGTTGTGTTTACTATTTTAGTGTTGTGATTAGAGGTGTTTTTTTAATTACAGCTAAGTGAACTAGAACTGCCTACAAGGAGATCTCCAAACTCAGGACTTACTGGTCCGGGAGGCTGTATCAGTGATTTCTTAGAAGCAATTGAAAATGTAAATAATATTATACTTAGCTTTTCTAACTCAGAGTAGTTTAACACTATAGGGCAAAAATTTACTTTATTCAGTTAATTTAGATAATAAAAATTATAACCCTACTTTTTTAAAAAAAATTAAAATGGCCTTTTGTAAATAAATAAAATGTATGTTTGTAAAAAAAATATTTCTTTGTTTTTAAAATAAATAACATTGTATAGAAGACGACTGAGAAAAAGAGTGCTTTAAAAGTAATATATATTGACGTAGAGATATTCATAAAGAAAATATTTATAACCTTTTCGAAAACTAAGGAACATCTTTGTTTTTATAAGTTATTTTTTATTAAGGAAAAAAATAAAAAGCTTAAAAATTTGTTTACTTAAATCTTTGCAACGTTTCGTCGAAAGTTTAAACTTCCGCTTTAAGAATTGAAGCTTATTTAATCTTTCAAAACTGATAAAACCTGAAATAAAATTGTTTTTTGTTTAAGAAAAATGAAGCAAAAAATTCCTTTTATTATTTGTTATATCGCTTTCGGGCAAAAAAACAAATAAGGATTAGAAGTAAAATAAGAAAAACACTAGTAAAATAGTCTTGAATTAAAACATTCTAACAATTTGTGCATTGACTTTAATGCATTTTTTTAAAGAATGATTGTATTTTTCATTTAATTTTCCTTTAATTTTTATGATACTACAGCGATACAGATATACAAATAAAAGTAATTTAGAATTTGCATAATTTTGAATTATGGCAATCTGATTTTTAAGTTTAACTAATTCTTTCTGGCTTTTTTTTAACAGTTTTGGACCTCTTTTATCCAAATATTGTGGCCTCCATACACGAAAACGACATGCATTCTTCTAATAGTTTGGGCAACAACAGCCTTCGGGTAAGTTTTAGTTACTGTTTTCACAGGGAATTTACATAACTTGTACAATAAAAAATGTGAAGGGTATTTCACAAACACCACTCTTAAGATATAGTTCAACAATTCTTGTCTAAAGTAAAGTAAAAAATTTATGCTGGAGGATTCGTAACTCTTGAATGGTATAAAGCGCAAATGTTATGAAATCTGACAAACCTTTAGCAGCATTCAACGAAGTTAATGTTTGATTAGAAATCGTCAATACTAGTTTAGTTATCAAATGAAGCTGAAGGTGATATTTATCATTGTTGACAGAAATTCTAAAAACTTCATTAGGGTTGGTAATTAAAGTAGCATCTTAATTATAAGAGCTATCTCAACCTTGATTTATAGAATGAAACCGATAGTAGAATGAAAATCGCTGCGACAAAATTATAAGTTTAATTTTTAAGGAAATCTGTATTATGCAATTAATTGTTCGCCTTTATAAACTAGTGCACTCTTTGTAATCGGAACTATTTTCCTTAAACTCCCTAAAGTTTTATAAATCATAAGTACTGATAAAAATGTTAATTATTGATATAAATGAAAAATTGTTTTATCTTTTTTTTATTTTAAAATAAAAACAATTATGAACACTTATAAAAAAATATTTTTAAAGAAAATGTTTCTTGTTTAATTTTTTTTAAAGTTTTACAAAATAGATAGTTAAGTAAGTTCCCCATATATTAATGTTTCTTTAGAAATATAGCTAAGCAGCAAATAAAGGAACCTGTAGTTATTCCTTAAACCATAATTAAAAAGACAATTTAAAAAAAGCCTTTGCATGTTGGAAAACCAGACGAGTCTATATTACGTTATACAATAATTTGGTGCTGTTTATGACGTATAAAACTTATGCGTGATTAACTATCATTTAAAAACAATAAATCTATAGCCTAAGTTTTAATGTTAGGCGTAAGAAAAGTTTTGTTTTCAATTTCTGCTGTTCAAAATTAAATAATAGTTTGAGGTAGTTTTGAATCCAACAACTTGTTTTATTGCCTAGAATAAAGCACTAATGACGGAATTTCTTCCGTTAAATAGTAAATTTCATTTAATGTTTCATTTTGTTCCCTCTTTTTAATAATAATGTATGTCATTGCATTCCTTATATGAATAGAAATATTATATTGTTTTTATCATAAAATTATAACAAAAATATAATACTAATATGATAAAGAATATTTTGAAAAATAACACACTAAATGAATGCAAATATATTAAGTATGTTCTCGAAATACAACATTTGTAAACTACCATTTTAAGTAATGATTAATAATATATATAGTGCATGCCTCAAACTGGTGTTTAGTGAAATCTAGTTCTAGATTAAACTGCGGAATTAAATTATATTTAAGTAAAATTAGTGATTAACTTTGAAATTTTAAGTCTATCAGAACTAATATCTGTCTACTTTATTTCACTTTTGAATTATTAAAAAAATAGTAGCAGTATCGTTCAGTTATTAAGTCATTTTAAGTCATTATTGGGTCCTTTTAAAATCACCATTATGTTGTTAGCCCAAATGATAATACATATTATTTCTTGACGTGTGTGTTTTGAATTTGATCTAAATTAGCAAATGATATTTTCCTTCTAAGTATTTTCATTTTGTTCAAAAATAATTATTTAAGTCTATTTTTTAATTGTTTAAAAATAATTCTTGCATAAAACAATGTTAAATATCAGTGCATCGGCAATTTTTGACAAAATTGTATCAAAGATTAAAAAAAAATATCTAATTTAGAAGTAATATATTATAGCCATTGCAAATATAAATGGAATTTATTTAGATGTTTACAGGAATAAATATAGCTATGCTTGTCCCATCTTTTTTAGGTTCTATGGTATGTCGATTTGGTTCCCAGAATATGTTAGGAAGATCCAAGAAGAGGAATATGAATCACATGCCAGTGTTTATGCCAACACTTCTGTTGCATACCAAAAGTTTGGTGGAAGCCTAACGAATCACCGCTTCGAAAACGTCCATTTTGAGAATGATGTATTCGAAGACATTGTACTTATTCACTGCGTTTTCACTAAATGTCATTTTGAGAATGTCACATTCGATAAAGTTCATTCTTCCAGAACATTCTTCTATGATTCAGAATTTAAGAGAGTAACATTCGAGGTAAAGATTTTTGCCACAAAAATTTCTTATACTAAGATTTTTCTTGCTGAATTATTTTACAGTTACTTCTAATAAATTATTTCTTAAAACTCTTTATTTTGAAATTAGAGAATTTCGTTGAAGTTGAACGAATTGTTACTAAAGATTTTATATTTAATAAACTTTTAAACACTTGATCCAGGATCTAATTTTTAACAAAGGCTTTAATGGAAGATTAAAGTTAATTTTATTCCACTTTCCTATTTAAACGGAATAATTGTAAGTATAAATTGCTTCAATTATTTTGTTTACCTAGATCAAGAGCTTTTAACTCTATTTTAATTTAAAGCTATAATTTGGATGACTGGAAAATTCCATGCATAAAATAAAAACTTATAAACTTAATCTTCTATATATTTTTCAGTGAAAAAACTGAATGCTAAGTGCTAGAAATAATAGAATTTTTAAAATTAGTTCATTAAAATTTATTCAGAAATCAAATTTAACGTGATAAAAAACTTGTTTTAAATTAAAAGATGTTAAAAATGAATTTCAGATATGAGTACTTTTTAAACAATGTTTTAGTTTCATTTGTTTTTCTTCTTCATAATAGAAAAGATTTGCTTTTAAAAACAAATTTTAATTTGAAAGCATAGTGTAGTTAATTACAACTGGGATTTGTGACAAAACATATTTAAAAAAATAATTATAAATATTTTTTGAATGACTTTTACATTTTATTTCTTTGCATTTTTGTCTAATAAGGATAAAAACAATTGAGACAGAAAGTAAAACAAATTCGATTCTTCAATTAAAAGTCTATTTAATACACTTTATACACTTGATTTTTATTCTGATTATTAATGGAAATGTTAGAAAAAGTATAAAATTAATTATTAAACATCGAAGTCATTTTCAAAATGTTACTACCATTGCTAAACTGAATGGTAATTTCTTTCTAAAATAATCAGTGTTATTCATTCATGTTTTGTTACAAAGATTATTCATAATACAAATTGACGTTGTAACTGAATTAAGTTTTTTGAGATTTTAAGCAAAATTTAAATAAATACTTTTGGGTTCTCTATTTGTATTTGAAACGAAATTTTTGTTGTTTGAAGAATTTAAAAGCAGAATGATAAATCAAAAATAAGATTAAATAAAATTATTTTAAGAAACACAATATTTTTTAAGATATTTTATCGTCCGTCTATATTATTATAATCAAGATCAAACTTTTTATATATTAACAAAATTAGAAGTTTTTTTTAAATATCTAGATTTACTTAATGTGTACTGCTCTAAGTTAAATGATAATTTTAACTATATACTAACTTTCTATACATGGGCATATATAATTTATACGGTTTTTGAAATATAAATTACTCTTATCCATGCATATAAAAACATCTATAATCTACCATTTTAAGATACCCAATAGTTAAAAGGGCACTACATTATTCATATTCTCTTCTTTCAATAAAATTCTCATTTTTCAACTCAATCTGTAAATAAATTTTAAATACGTATATGAAATAAATAATTAAAGCAATATATTTTAGAACCAAAATATCTTGAGGTCCTCGTGTACTAAATATTATATAAATCTGTTATAAATTATGTTAAGCTTTGATGTGAAAAATATAATCACTCTGTAATTTCTTTTACCTTTTCTTAGAAAACTGACTTTTTTGAGTACAAGTTCATCAATTGTCATTTTAAAAGTTCGACATTCCGAAATACGGAAGAAGGTTGTGGAGTTGATTTCGACCTAAACTTCAACTTAACAGATGTTTTTACTGAAAACATGATTGCACAGGCAGCAATCATTCCCGGAAGTATTCTGTCTTCCTTAGTTTTGGACAGATTTGGAAGAGTTAAGACAATGGGTAATGTATAACACACTACATATAAAGTATGAAAACGCATTTCACTCCTTCAGGACCATCGCATATACGTGATTACGCAATTCTCTCTTGATGGCAAACGGTCTTCATACTCTAAAAAATCTATTGATTTATTGAAAAGAAACTGTCAGCTGGTGTGCCAGTATAAAATAATTTATTTCCCTGAAAAAAATACAGTTATTTAATCCTTTTCAAGAAAACGGTCATAAAAGTGCCCATTCTTTTGGCTTTTGTATTTGTATTACGTGTTTGATTAGTGCTGACATCCAGTTTAACCATCTACAATTACCTTAAAAATATCCTGGTACTGCCATCTGGTGTGTAAAATGATAAATAAAATGTTTTCCGGGCAAAAGAAATAAATTAGTTTTATTCTTATTGGCGCTTTACTACTGAACACTCTAGCCCGTCAATATCACGGGAACAAGAAATAGAGGGCGAAACCTCACCCGGTCATTTTCACGGGAGCGAGAAGGAAGGGATTAAATACAGATGTCTGTTTTTAAACAGATAAGTACCGTATAAACTAACTGTTATTTTAACAAGTAACTCTATAAAATAACTACGTCAGCATTGTGAGTCGAGAAAAGCATTTGTACAGCCAGTCAACGCTGGAAATCGAATGTGAGACTCCTCATTGGGAGACGAGAGCTCTGTCCCAAGAGCTACCGTGGCTCTTGCGTCTCAGTATTTTAGTTTCATAACCGTCGTAGAACAGCCGATCCAATTTTCGAGTTTACGACTACTAATGTTCAACTACGTAACCTTGTAATTTTGAATCTAATTCAGAAGACAAAGAAAATCCTGGATCAAGTATTGGGAGAATTTGCCTTCGTTGAGGAGTTTTTGATGGAACTACTCCGCATTTGCGTTACATGGAGAGTTAAACCACAAAAGCCTCCCACGGTTAGCCTGAAGGCAAGGGGACTCTAACTCATGATCCGTCTACCACTGAGGATATTTCACGTCAGAACTGTTGTCAGAGTAAGCCGGATGCGGAATTCGTATCAACCAGCCATCGCTAGGATTTGAACCCTGTTCACCTCATTGGAAGGCGAACGCTCTATCCCCTTGGCCATCGCGGCCCTAGTGTCTCAGTATGAAGAAAAATCTTAAACTGTTTTTATCTTAATAGACTTATTTGTTGAAATAATATTTAAGTGCAAAAACTTTTCAAACTACATTGGTCCACCCGAATAAAAATGTCTGGCAGATTAACTTACCAAAAAATTATGTATCTAAAATATAATAACTAGGGAGAGTATCGATTTGACGATAAAATCAAAGTTCAGCTTTAATCATACCATGTTAAGAACCGTGAAATAATTGCTGAAAAGAGCTGGTATAGTTAAAAATCATAAAATGATTTGAACAAAAAAGGTAGGTCACCTTACTGTAAGTAAAACTGCAATGCAAAATTAGAATTTGAGTTGGTGGTTTTAAATTCATCTATGATAAGGATAAATTTTTTTTAAAAATTGCTTGGTGAAAAAACAGATATAAACTGTCAAATATAGAAAGAAAATCTGGAAAAAAAACGGGAATTTCTAACAGTGCACGGATAAAGGTTATAAATAGTAAAAATCTGTATTTTTCATTAAAGAGTTTTTTTTCTGTGAAAAGTACGAGCTTCTTCAGTAGAAATTGCAGTTATTTTTTACAATGTACATGATACACGGTAAAAAATTAGATCAAATTACAAACTTTTTACAGCAAAGCTTTATGGAACAGAAAATTTGCCATACCCTAACTTTTGCAGTAATATTTACCATAAAACCACTGTCATTAAATAAATATTACTACAAAAATTACGATATAAAATTTTACAATAAAAATGGATCTTACGTTAAATAGTGGCATTCAGAGTGCCTGTATTTTTTACCGTAATTTGATCCATAGTTTTTTGTAGTACCCGAACTTTACCAACTCTATCGTCCTAATATAACTCAGGCGAGATTTCAATTCAGCATTCTCGTGTTGCTACTCGTTTTATTACGGATGTGTACTCTTTAGCGCGAATACTTAGGGAGCACGTGATGGAGCGCCTGGGGAGTCCTGAAGGGGATAAATTGCATTAAACATTTGGGCTTTTAAAATAGCCCTCTAAGTGTATGCATTTTTATCTTTTGCAGTTACGTCACTGTTCCTGACAAGTGTAAGTGCGTTTTTTATCTGGTTCATCGACACAAAGCATATGGTTATTGCATTTGAAGCAATGTTCAATTTCATTTCTATTTCTGGTTGGAATGCAGTTGATGTTATCACAACGGAATCCTATCCAGCTTCACTGAGGTAAGCATCAAAATAATGATACATATGTCTAAAAAAGTATGACGCATCGTTAAAATAGCAATTTACCTCTCGAACTTTATTGTGCATTATCGAGTAATATACAGTGAGCAAAAAATAAACGAAACACTCCGAATAACTTTTGATCTAATGAACGGATTTTCAAGTACTAAAGTTTAATCTTAATGGTTTGAGGGAGTGATCTCAAATACGCTAACAAATGAATGCAAACGATATTTTAAAAGGCGAAATAAGACTCAATATTGTGTATTCTCTGAATATGCATAGCTTTTTTTTAAGGAAGTCAGGTCTCTTATCTCCAAAATGCAAGGGATGTACGAAATCTAGGAAATATGCTTACAATAGTTTGGTCTACCTAAAGTTTGAACCTCTAAATGTTAATTTTACCTTTTGCGTCATATCTTAAGAACTTTCCAAGTGCAGAGAAGCAATTTTCACAGAATTATAAAATTCGTTTACACAAACATAATTCCACGTAAAAATAATACTCGTATTCAATAATTATTTATTATTCTTCGAAATTTATTTAATAATAGTCAGAAAAACTTTCAATTGTATGGTTTATTAATTTTTGCACTGTTTTGCAGACTGTCATTTTATATGGCGAAATACAAAATTTGTACGTAGTCGATCAAGTAGTTTCTGAAAAATTGAACTTCTGTAAAAAAGTTTTCAATTCACTTAAAACTTTCTTCAGACATGGGTAAATATGCAAAAGGTAAAATTAGCAAAAAGGAGAATTTTTGACTGCTCTTCTTGCTATTGGGACCATATTTCTCAGCTTGCGACAGTGTTTTGAGAGTGAGAAATACAAATCCGTTAAAAAAAAAAAGGTATGTTTATTCCAAGAAGCGCGTTTTGCGTCTGACTTCGTGACTTAAAATATCGTCTGCTCTAACAGATTAGCGTATTTGAGGTCACCGCCTTAAATCATTAAAATTGAGTCCTATTACAAGAAGATCCGATCATTAGATCAAAAGTTATTCAATGTTTTTAATTTTTTTACTCACTGCTACATTAAATTAATAAGTTTTCTTGCTTGTGCACAGCAATGTAAAAAGAATTTATTTGGAGTTACAAAAATTTGCTTTTTACAAAAAGTTTTTTCGGAATAATTTTTTAGATACAAGATCTTTTAATGATGATGTTATAAATACAGAATTTCTTATCATGAACTTTTGGGAGGTGAGGTACATCTTAAAAATTGTAAGAAAAAAGACATCTGAGGTAAGTGGCAATATGAGTAAAGGAAATCTTACAAGACGCATTAATTGAAAACTTTTCTTCGACAACATGAATACGAATGGCTTTAGATCAATGCAAGTCATAAAGTTGTTACAGCTGCTCATAATTGATCTAAGACGCTTTTCATGCCGGACACTAATTGGGCATTGATTGCCGGACATGATTGAACAATCCGATTTGTTTGTTTTGCAGAAACAGCAAAGGCAAGTTTTACCTTATGATTCATTTCAGAACCCACAGAATAGCTTCCTCAACAGAAAGAAATCAAATCAATTGGAAAAAAAGAATTTCAAAATAATTTTTGCCTACAAATTAAATTTGGATTGCAATTTGGAATTCAGATAGTTCTTGGTGTTTTGAGTTTTGTTAGCAATAATTTCTCGGTTATATTGAGGCATTGTTTGGTAGAAATCGTAATATTTTACGCGCAAATAAAGCCGATCGCAATATTTCTCGCACAAATAACACAGATTACGATATTTTATATGCTAATAACGTGGATCGCACTGCTGCAAGCGCAAATAACACTGATCACAATATTTATCGCGCAACTAACGCAGAAACTCCATTTTAAAAATATTTTCCTTTCGCTGGTGAAATGCGTATGATCAATATAATTTTGCAATTTTATTTATTTTACGTGGCATTGTGCGTTTGAGTTAAAAAATATAATTTAAGCCAACTGGCATTTGCATTTAGGATCCTCCCCCTATTTTAAGTTATAAATAAATTTTCTCTTATAATTAACGTTAATTTAACTATAAAAATTTTTGCATAGTAAAACTATTACAATAAAACAGTTTGTTATCCAAAAAAAAATTTAATGAAGAACCTATCATTTTAACAAATTGTATATTTTTTTCTTACTTTTTAAATTCAAATTTTTTTACATAAAAATTACAAATAAAGAAATCAACATCTTAAATATATTTCTTTGAACTTATTTAATATTTCGTATTTAAAATATATATATATCTTACAGTGATTCCTAAAAACATGATGATGAATTGACAGCAAGTTCATTTTAATTTTACCATTTCCGCTATGACGTAAACGATTTAAATGTTTATCAAGGATTTAGACATGCCACCTATTAGATAATTACGGATAAGAAAGAAAAGCAATCCTCCATAACCTCCGTTTCCTAATGTCAATAACTTTAAAGCTAACGGGCTCAAACTCACTAAAATGTCACTTTAAACTCTTAACTTTTTAGTTAATAAATCTCGGAGAAGAGAAAATCATCATAATTTCAATGTTTTTAAATTTAAATGTTCGCATTTTAATACATTCATTACAACTGCTGGAAACCTTTTCTACTCGTTTTGAAAGCTACTCTGATTTCGCTGTGTTCTTTACAAGATTCTTTTTGCTGTCTTACAGTTTAAAAAAAAAAGGTATAGTCTGTCTAAGCTAAGAACTCCTCCCGCCACAAAGTCTGAGGTCGTCTAGTGCTATGGAAACAAGAATGGCTCATTTTAGGGAGGGCAGCTTCACTCTAGGACTAAGACACTAAACCGAAGGAAAAAATTCCCGTTCTCCCGCTGCCCCTAGCCGAAACCACTCCAAAACAGTGACCCCGCACCCCTATTTTAAATAGTCATACCTCGTTACCATAGTCACTGCCACAGGTCCAGACGAATGTCTGGATGACTTCCTATTTTAGACAAACTATAAACTTCATTTGGCAGGTAGGTAGGTACATTATTTACGTCGCACTGGAGCTGCACAATGGGCTATTGGTGACGGTTTGTAAAACATCCCAAAGGATGATCCGAAGACATGCCATCGCAATTTTGATCCTCTGCAGTGGGAATGGCGTCCCTGTATTGTTAGCTCAATGATCAGCTCGAAGTTTAGCAATTTACGGTAGAAAAAAATTCAACAAGGACAGATACCGGGCACCCTCGGTCTTTACGCAGGCTGATCAAAGTGGGACCGCAGTCAGTGATGCTTGACTTCGTTGTTCTACTGGAAATGATTCTTTACGATCAGTCGACTTCAAGAAAATTTCACTTGCAAAGCTATTCCATTTCTAAGCATATAACAGAGGAAGAATTAATAACAATGAGGAACAAATTTTTTGTTGCATTTTTTTTTTTGTCGCGGCAGTGAGAATTTCATATTTGAAATTAGTTTTGCTCTTAAAGTGGCTGATATATTTTTTAAAAGGGCATTTTTATTCTGTTTTTTGTGTAAATTTAAAAACGTTATGTTTAACTGTAAGTCGTTAAAGGATACGACAAACTTCTGGAGGATTTAAGACATATGATCAGAATTAAAACAGCATTGGAACCCATGCCAGAGGAATGTCTTCGTACGCAACTAGGGCCCTATTCAAAAGCACACGGAAAAAACAGTTCATAATAAGCTAGCGACGTATGACTTTCCGGGCAAAAGTTGCCATGCAGTTTTAATCCTGATGTTGTGTCTTAACTCACCTAGAAATTTGTCTCGACATTTATACGATCCCCTGTTATATATAACGATTTTAAATTTCTGAATTTCAACAAAAAATAGACTTAAAATATCATTTTTAAACAAAACTGTATCATGGAAAGAGAAACCAATGGCAGATTTGAAATCAACGATACGAAAATATCCAAGATCTGTTCAAGTCGCATGAAACAGAATTTTTTTTTTGTGCCAGTGTAGTTATTAATAGTTGATTTTAGATCATTTCATAAATTGTAGCAAATATGTACCCATAGTTCATAAATATTAATGTATACTTAATGTGTTTCAGGAGTACAGGATATGGTTTCTTGAGTGCAGTCAGCAGATTAGCCGCTATTGGTGGAAATTTACTATTCGCCCATTTCATCAGCATCAGCAAAACGTTGCCCATTCTGACAACTTCTGCTGTTCTAATGGTTGGTGCCCTCTGCGCTTTGAAGCTTCAAGAGACCAAAGATACACTTATGTAAATTTATTGTAACAATGTTTCCCAGGAATCTATTTGAGGTAGATTCCCTAAGGGAACTACCATGAATATGGATGTCCGGTTTACTGATTTGACCGTCTGGATTACAAGCCAGGGATTTAAAAGCTCAATGGCGGAATACGCTTTATTTTAAGTCAATCGTGATGGATCTCGTTGAGAACAGGACCTTTGAGAATTTAGTTGTTATTTTATTTTATCTCCAGTAATTTGTAACAGTTAAGCAAATTGCTGAATTTCGAAGTGGTAGATACACCGTTCATTAACTTGATTGGGAAGTGTTAGCCATAATAAATATTTTCTAGAATTCATTGGTGTAAATGGAAAAAAAACGAGTACTAATTTTGCAATATTTCTTGTTGTGAGTATAGCCAATCAAAATCAGTAAGTGATTATTATTGAGGTATATTTACACTGAAAAAAAAGTGTGGTAAAAAATACCAGAATATAGTAAACTTTACCGTGTTTTTAATACCAAAACGCCAAAAAGCTTATTGAAGCGCTTTAGTAATGATTTTAGTAAAATTAACTATACAACATGGTTTTATAAAATGCGATAAAATTTGTTAAATGTAATAAAATTGGTAATTTTACCGTGACCTTGGAGTATGGCACAAATATTATTTATGCAGTTCAAGTTACTTTTCAATTATGTATATTTTACTAAATTTGTGGTAAATGGAGCTTTTATTTTGAAAACCAGAATTTCCGGTAAGCCGTTATCATATGAACGTAAAAATTATCTAATAAATTGATTAAATTCCGTATATTTTGATCTTATTAACCAGAATTTTGTTTGTTTGTTTTTTACTAGATATATCATTACCATACAGCATGATAACTTTACTAGAATTTTTTCTCCGTGTACGAATTACCTTACTTATTAAATTATTGAGTTACGTCTATGAACTAAATTTAGAGATAATTCCTATAATAGATTTTTTCTAAAATAAATTAATATAAACGTTCCTAATTAATGCTAGTTAAATACTTCTAAAAAATAATTTTCGCTCCATACCACAGTTTAAGTTTTTTTAAAGTACCAAAATAAAAAGAGGAATTATGTTTATTTGTGTCTAAAACGGAAACTTACGAAATAACGTAATGGCTACTAAAATAGTTATGTACTAAAAGTTATGAAAAAAAAAACTGCAACTATTTAAACATTATAAATAAGAATACTTTACAGAAATTCTGTGGTTTAGTGTTGATGATGATTAACGATATCATTTACAGCTTAAATAAGAATTGGTTATTCTAACCAAGAAGATAAATTGAATCTACTTCGCAATAATGGCGTCATCAGTGTAGAACAGAGTGAAAATGTTTTCCTCCTGTTACAGAATTAGCAGCATCTTAGCAGCTTTATGACTTTTTTTTAACTATTTAATTTTTTATCGATATTTTTATTTATTTTCAGATCTTCTTATCTAAACGATGTGTGCTTAGGTGCTTAAAAGCAATGGGTTCAAATCAGTATACCGGCTCCATTATTATAAGGTGTTAATTGCCATTTGTACATAACTGTGAGGTTTTGTGCATTGTTTCTACCGTTTGTGGTGTTGATGACGCTTTCTTCTGCTATTTATAGTTTTTAAGAAGCGTACTTGTGATGCAAACTTCCTTTTGTGAGTGTAACTTCCTGCCAACAACAACACCTTTTTATTTTTAGCTGGTTTTTAATCCAACTTTTGTGAGGTTCAAAGATATTGTATTTTTACCTATATATGTAGAAAATGCTTGCGAAATAATATTTGTTATAAATTTAATTGATACAATGATACAAATACAAAATTATGCATGGAAATTCCGTAATATAGGAGTAAAAATTTGTGCTTTTAAACATGTTTATGTTTTAGCTGTTTAAAACCACGAATACTTTTTTTGTACAGATTTGTAAGACAATTATTGTTTTGTATTTCTGTCAGGTGTTTTCTTTAAACTTCTTTCATTTGATTTGAAAATAATACCATTTGTTCAGTAAGGTTCAGTTTAATTTTGTTAACTGTATTAAATATCTCGAAAAAATATATTATTTTATGAAAATTAAATTACGAATTTTCTTCGCGTACAATATAAAAAACTTATAGAGCTTTTTAAATGCCCCGTCGAGTTTCATGCTTGGAATAAAAGCTTAACTTTTGATACCAAAATATAGATATCTGAAACCTAAAATGTTGTTTAGAGTAAAATATTGATAGATATATTATTTTAAAAAATGCCTATGGTTTTGCGTCCGGTTGTTAGGAGATAGAATGAACAATCTATAGTTATGAATGTACAAAAATAGATAAGTTGTATGATTGAATGTTGCGCTATTGTTATACTTCAAAGTAAAATGAAAAATCTGGTTGATTGTCAGTTTTATGATAATATGAGTAAATAATAAAGTGGACACTTTAGAAATGCGTGTAATATAATATTATTATTAATTTATTAAGTAATATTAATATTAATAATATATGTGCACTACTGAAGAAAGGCTTATGTACTAATAAAATTGTATATTTCATTGTACTGTTAAAATTGTATAAATGTGAAAAAGTACCAACAATATATTTTTAATGAATCATTTATTTGCAGTAGCGTATTACAATAAAAATATAATAAAATGGAAACATGGGATAATCAGTTAGCATACTGAATTAAAATTAGATTAGTTTTATGCGTTTTAACTAGTTTATTTTTTGTCGAGTCGTTTTCAAGTAAATTAACAACAGATTGCTAATTCCAGCGAATTTGTGAATTAAATCAGGTTGACAGATTCTATGCCTTCATTTCTTAATGACAAAAACAGTAAATAAACAGAAGTCTTACGTAGCTTACCTCTCGATCAAAAAAGTATTCTTTAAAAGAATTCTACAGGGTGAAGAATGAAAAAGAAAAACGTTGTAAATACCTCCCCCTAAGTATTTTTTAATTTACAATTCTTAGAAGATTGGGGAAACCTTCAGGAGGCAACTATAGTACTATTAATTCATAAAAAAATCCGGAAGATGTCGCTGGTTCGATATATAACGTAAAGAGAACGTTGTATAAGAAGATGTAAGAAAAAATGGAGTGTTGATTATTCAACTTTTTTTTTTGTTATTATTGCTGACGATAGCATAATTAATAATTTCTTAAAAATATTTAAAGCAAAAGTATTTCAAATAAATGTTTATATATAAAACTATCAGGTAATGTAACGGAACTGGGGTATCTGAACACTTCACGGAAAAAAAGTTACGTACGTTACTTTTAAAGTGTTGACTAAAAGCTCCAAAAGAGTTGAAATGCAAAAGCTGTCAGCCCCAGAAGTCAGAGTTTTTCTCTTCTCCTTCTTCCGAACAATTTTCTTTTCTTCTTCTTCTTCTTTTTTTTCTTTTTTGACTTAAACCGTTTTCCATATTTAGTCATTGGATCAATTCCTTGACATGGAGAGTTTGGAGCTCGCTTCAAAATGTTCTGATGATACCGTTGGACAATAGAAAAAAAGTTTAATTGGTATTAATCTTAAGAAAACAGTGGAGATATTCCATCATTCTCTTTTTAAAAACAATTTTGAGTTGACTTAAAATGCTTTAAAACAAACTTTTCCATTTCATACGAAATATTTTCCAACGCTGCACAGAATGTATTTTTATCGGTCCTTGTTAAACTGTTCTACTGTTAAGTGCTCAACTTCGCGCGCAGGTCGTTGGGCTACCAAATCGAATTAGCCATCCCCTCTACAAAGGATCAAAATTGTGGTGGCAGGTCTTCGGATCAAACTCAGTGATGTTTTCCAGACCGTCGCCAATAGCTTATTATGCAGCTCTAGTGATACGTAAATAAAACACTTACCTATCTAACGTTCGAAAAGTCGACTGTTAAATTATTAATTATTTTTCAAAAGTCTTAAGAAATTTAAAGCTGGCTCCAAAAGCTTCATGTAGCAGAAATGACATATTATTTAATTTATAATTAATTGGATATATGAATGGTAAAACTTTTCTGAAACTAAACTTTCGATCAAAATTTATGCTTGAACATGAGTGTTTAGTTTTCAGGAGACAAAAATTTTATAAATGAAAAGTTATGAAATGATATGCCGATAATTATAAAGTTCTTCTAGTGGGAAAATTTAGTTAAAAGAAATACGAAAAAAAAAACTCATTTGAATGTTTTTGTTTGTTTCAAAATACTTCATTTCAATGAAACACGCTTATATTGTTTAATCTTAGCGGGTTTTTTTCTTTTTTGAGATTAAGAAGTTTAAAAATTACTGTTTAGACTTCAGAAATTTTTGAAGTAATGAAAGTGTTTCATTTTGTACTTATGTCAATGTAATTAAATGTTAATGTCACAATGTGTTTCTACCTCACCCTCTAAATGTTTAGCAAATAGATATAAAATTGCCTATATGACTCTTCGACCAATAATATCGCTTTATTTAGCCAAGTTATACATGTTGGAGAAGTTGTGACAAATAATTTTGATCTTTAAAACATTGATTAAAGATCTCTATTACAACTGGAGGGAATTTTCTTTCACGCAGAATTTTTTTAAAAAAATGCTGTATTGATTTTTTACGCTCATCCTGCAATATGCAATTTCTGGTAAATTTTATACTTATTATTTCAAAAGGTTCACCATTAACAGCATTTTTGGAATAATTGTTATAATATAATATAATCTAAGATATGCAGATTCAAATACATTTTTGCCTATTGACAAATTCAAATACAAGTTTTTTTTCGAACTTGCCAAAATATATTTATACTGCATAAACTGAAATTTGTCTGTAATTAAGTTTTATACCAGCCGTAGCAGAAACCACAAATAAGTTATGCAAATTTTAACCAAAAAAGTGTTGATTAATTAGGGCTGAAGTTATTTAATTAAAAACGTATATCTCAGCCACTTGTTTATCTTTTTATTAGCAAATATCATCTTTACTTATTTCCCTTAGTTAAAATTACATTGCTATTCGTTTGTAAGGAACCGTTATATTTTTAATATTAAACTCAAAATTATTTTTATAATAAACCAGATAACATATGAAGATGTAATTAAAGTACCAAAATAACATACATTGTTTGTATTATAGAAATGATGAAAATCCATAAAACTGACATTCTTACCAATATGAAAATATATATTATTGTATGCTTCGCATACAGAATGACATATCTGACATAAATAAATAAATATAGATACAAAAAATATGGTTTCTCTTATCATTATTTTTACTTTCACAAACAGAAATATTGTTTTTTCCTTTCAAAACCAAGAACTCCGACAATGGTTGATTTTCAAAAAACTTTACATTAATGGACATTGTATTTTAAAGCCGGACAGAATTAAATAATTCATTTTCACTCAATTTTAGTTAAATTTATATACATGAATTGTTTGCAAAAAGGAAATAATGATTTTGTTTCGAACTTATTTAGATATCTTAAAAGTTATTACTTTTACAAAAAAAAATTTTTTTGAATCGAATTTGTTTTATAATATTAAAAGGAGAGTTTCGATATTAAAAGGTTTTATAATATTAAAAAGGAGAAGAGCTATAATCTTTATTTT